AATCCTACACTTTTATACATAAAGAAAACAGGTTACATTAATTGTTAAATAAGAAAAATGTGTTTTAAGAATATTACCAGGGCCAGGCATGATGGCTCATACCTATAATCCTATTGTTCTGGGAGGCTGAGACCAGTCGGAGCAAGCGTGAGACCCCCATTTCTATTAAAAATAGAAAAATTAGCCAGCATGATGGTGTATGCCTCTAATCCCAGCTACTTCGAAGGATGAGGCAAAAGAATCAATCACTTGAGCCCAAGAGTTTGAGGTTGCTGTGAGCTAGGCTGATGCCATGACACTCTAGCCTGGGCAACAGAGCAAGACTCCATCAAAAAAAAAAAAAAAAAAAAGTATTACTAGAGAATGGTTTAAAATAAACTAGGTTTAACAATCTCTTCCTCATATACCACACTCAAGGAGTGTTCCTAAGATTTTATTGTGAGAACTAGGACACTTGTAGTTTATGGCTTAATTATCACCATTAAGAACTAAGAGTTCTATATCAATCAACCGGATATTACTGTTTGTTCCTGGAAATTCTTGCCCACAAAGATAGGCTGTAAATCAATACATACTTTCATTATGAGATTCTGGAACTACTTCAAAACCCATGTATGAACAGTAGGTTGCTCATCTGGCTGCAAAGCGCTGAGAAGTTGAGTAGATCACTTAATTGGGCAATCCCTTCCTTGTCAAAAATAGGGCCAAATCTGTCTCCAATTCCTTCACCTTATTGGGTGTACCAGTCTCCAACTTACTATGCTATGAACTGTGTCCAATCCCAATGAGATCCCCCTACTGAAAAGACCACCTTAAACCACTCCAACTAAACTATAGAACCCTGTAAAAACAACTCTGACCTCTCTGAGACACCACTAAGATTATGTTAAAGTACTATTCTCCCTTACTCCAGTAAGAAATTCAGCTTTACTTAATAATCAGGTTATTCTGGTGGTCTTTTGGGGGGTAGGAGAAGGAGTTGACAGTTGCAGTGAAGACAGTTCACGGTCAACACGTTTTGGGAAATGCTGGCTCCCCACATGTTAAGACCCAAAGCTAAGCTGGAGTAGTCAGGAACCTTTGCTTTATGGTACAGATTCACTGACGCCATCAACAGATTAAATTACATAATACAGAAAGCCAGGGAGGAAGAAAAAATACCTTAAGGAGGAAATAATACCAAAAGGAAGACCGTAAGAACTGTAGAACTTCCTTTCCTGTCCTCATTCTCATGCATGATGAACACAAAATACAGACAACAATGGGAACCTCTGAAAGAGTCTCTATAGCTAATTATTTAATGGGATGTCATGTTGAGACAGTATAGGGACAGGACTCAGGCCTCAATTTGACTAAGGGACACAACATGAGGCCAGGTGCAGTAGCTCATGCTTGTAATCCTAGCACTCTGGGAGGCCAAGGTGGGAGGATTACTCAAGGTCAGCAGTTTGAAACAAGGTGGGGCAACATGATCCACCCTAATTAACCAAAAAAGAATAAAAACAAGGAAATCCTAGCTGCCAGAATTCAGCCAATACCCATATAAGGAAGGACCAAACCATCTGTTTTGTAATGTTTTTCAGGGCCACTGAAGCAAGATACTGACACAGGATGATATGACACCTGGCTGCAGAAGAACCAGACCTATCCGGATCCAACCACCTCAAACCAGAAGAGACCTCTCCCGCTTACTCTGACTTTACATTGACTTTTCCCTCATTATAATTTCATTTTAATGCTAAAAATCACACCCAGGGGTGGAGATTTAACATACTAATGAGACAGGTGATGCATGAAGAAGCATATACCAGAACTACCAGGGCAAAAGAAAATCTCCACCTCTATATGCATACATGTCACCCTTTTCCCACCTAACGCCTATTTATTTATTTAGAGACAGAGTCTCACTCTGTTCCCTGGGCTAGAGTGCCATGTCGTCAGCCTAGCTCACAGCAACCTCAAACTCCCAGGCTCAAGCAATCCTTCTGCCTCAGCTTCCTGAGTAGCTGGGACTACAGGCATGCGCCACCATGCCCGGCTAATTTTTTCTATATAAATATATATATATATGTATTTTTTTAGTTGGTCAATTAATTTATTTCTATTTTTAGTAGACACAGTCTCGCTCTTGCTCAGGCTGGTTTTGATCTTCTGACCTTGCACTATCCTCCCGCCTAGGCCTCCCAGAGTGCTAGAATTACAGGCGTGAGTCACCATGCTTCGCCCCTAAGGCCTCTTTAAAACTTCCTGAATGTCCCTCCCTTGGGACAACTCTTCCTCCTGTGCTGTCTCCCTAGTGCTGGAGCATAAGCCCCAATAAAGCCTAGCCAGTGACTCCCGCTGGGCCTCTGGTTAATTTGTATCACATAGCCCGAAGGGCCTGTGCTGGTAACAATGTTATAATTTATATCTGCAATAGGTCTGTTAGGGACCAGGCAGCACATCACCGCCAGAACTCCGCTTCCTCTGCCCCCAGTTGTGGAAAAGTTGTCTTCCATGAAACTTAGAAACCAGGCTGCAGAGCAGGACGTGAGCAGCAGGCTTACAGCCTGCTCCCCATCACTGCCTGAGCTCCACTACTCTGCGCTGCACCCCCTCATCCCCCTCCTCCACCTCCATGGAAAAATTGTCTCCAGTCCCTAATGTCAAAAAGGTTGGGGCCCACTGATTTATATTACCCCACCCTTACTGATCTTGAGATTGTATCCTTATATTTTGCAGCTGCACTTGTAGGATACAGTTCTTATCTTGTAAACGAAAGCAGCCCTCTGTGGCCCTAGCTCCAAAGTAATTCTAAGAACCTTCAATTCAAGCGTTAAACAGCAGCCAATATTTTGCCTGCTGGTAGTTCCTAGGCTCCGTTTCCTAAACTTGAAATCCCACCTTTCCTTTTGGATCCCTGCAAAAATTCCTAACTTTTCAACACAAGTTAGGCATGATCTCCTTCAGGAAAGCCTTGCCAAGCCTCGGGGTATGGTTCTGTAGCACCCTGTTCCTATCCCTATCATAAGCACTCGGGCACTGTATTGCATTTATCTATTGAAGGGTTATCTTCCCCCTGAAGCTGAGTTTCTTGAATTCAACAACTTGCATATACTTGAATCTTCCTGACTTCTACAGTACCAGGCAAGTAGTGGGGCTCAATTAATGTTTGATAAACTAAATTGAAGAGTGAGGCGGGGAGGACCGATGAAAGGGTCTGAAAAAAGGATTTCAGGGTATGAAATCTTGCTGGGTGCGGGGACCTCAGTAGCGCAACCGAGTTGCAGGTGGGGAGAGACGCCACAGAGGTGAGTCGTGGGACGGCAATGAGGTCACAGAACCATGAGGCCAAGGTAAAGTCATTATTAACACGTGCAGACAAAACTTGGCGAGGGGGGAGGGTCTCCCGGATCTGGTGTTAGGGTGAGGGTGGGGGGACGGGTGTTTGGCGCGAGGCCCCACTTTTGAGTCGTCTTACCGCAGGAACCAGAGACCGCGGGAGGGGCCGGGAACCGTTAGGGAGACAAGGACGTGCTTGGTAGCTGGGTGCCGAAAGCCCCAGTCACCCCCTACGGCCACAAGGCCCAGGGGCCAGACGGCCTCTTCACAGCGTCAACCGCCAGGGCACGTTCCCTTCCACGCCATTTCACTCTTGAGGGCTCTTTCCTCACAGACCCCGCACAGTCCTGCGGCCGCAGGGGCAGCCGCCGCCGCCCGAAAGGGAGCCGCCACCCTAGGAGCTCTCGCTTCCCTGGACGTCATGTGACTTGGCGAGGTGACTCGCATGCCCTCTGAAACAAGGCTACAGACGATGGAACCAGAGAATCTTATCTCGGACTGACCAAAGACCCAGGGTTAGCTAAGTTCACTCTCCCTTCAGAAGGGGAGCCGCTTCGCCTTCCCCAGGAAGGCGCGACCGGAAGGGGCGGGGCTTCCGCCCGCACCTGGGCTTCCGCTACCATGGCTTCTCGAGGGGTCGTGGGCATTTTCTTCCTCTCTGCTGTCCCCCTCTTGTGTCTGGAGCTCCGGCGTGGGATCCCAGATATAGGTAGGTGTGGACTTTTTTTTTTCCCTTGGTACTCATAGCTGGGTAATTTTCACAGGAACCTTGCATTGCGTTACCGCCTCCCTGGCGGCGTCGCCTCTGAGCGGCTTTACTACAATTCCCAGACTGCATCGCGCCCGCCTCCCGCTCCCAGGGCCGGCTCTACTTCGCGGAAGAATCCTCCGCCCCGCCCCCAGGTCGGAAGAAGTTTTGCGTACGAGGGGAGGGAGGCAGAAAGCAAGGGACAGGTCATAGGACTTTCACGTTGTGATGAGCGCTCAAAAGGAAGTAGGCGGATAGGATGAAGGTTTTCTGAAGAATTTAGACCGAGATTTAAATGATAAGCCACCAAATCCTTGAAACGCCGGTGGAGGGGAGGACGAGGGAAGGGTGCAGGGGGAGGGAGGACTATACTAGGCAAAGGGGTGAAGGCCGTTGAGGCTGGATCAAGGAGAATCTAACTCCCTCAAGGAGTCTGATGCCCAGAGATGTTACTTGAAATAAGAAATAAAAAGAACATGCTTGTAAAAAAGACTTTCCAGAAGCTTTCTACTCACTTAGGCTATATTGGAATATAACAAGACCATTCATTATCCAAATGATTAGGAATGTCGAATTTAAACTCACCTTTTCCAATTCACCTGTTCCCTTCCCTTTACAGATCCACCCCTACTCTGCTCATTATACTCTGCACTAATATTGGAGTCACTAGTCAGGGAAAGTTTTTACTGAGGGTTGCAGGAGATTTGCTCCCACCATCAGCTCTGATTACAAAGAAATAAATACACTCCTTAAGGGCAAGAGACCACATCAAGTTCGTTTTTGTATTCCCCTCTCGTACGACAGTGTCTGATAAAACTAGGCCAAGAGTTCTAGAAAGTATCAATATCCAGGTATTAAATTACTTTTGTAATGGTCAGAGATACCCTAGATTTAATTATGTGTTGTATTTGAACAATACCTGAATCAAAAGCTAATGCTGTACAGTTGGATGACAGAAAAAAAAAATCATATTTCTTCTCTAGACAACTTTAAATTGCTGGGTTTTTAAAATTTCATTTTACATAATATATATGTTTTGTGTTAGTATATAAGTTTTTATAATTTCCTCTTTAAGCTTTAGTTAAGTGACTCATTACCCCCTGATCACATTGGTAAGATGGTTCCTCTATATCTCCGCCATGTAACACTTGAAAATGAAAAAATGAAACAAGACTAAAAAACTACTGGAGGATAGAAACCATTTTTAACCCAACATTATATCTCCTCTTCCTCAACATTTAGCAAATTGTATTACACAAAGTAGGTACTCGTTAGATTTCTGCTGATTTAATTTTCACCTTGGTTCTTAAAATAAGACCAAATACTGAATTTTTGCTTTGTTTCTAGACAGACACATAAATAATTTTATTTATAAAATGACTCAGTAAGTATTGAGAAATAGAGAAGCACACAGTTGCACAATTTTGAGACAGAGTCTCACTCTGTCACCCCTGGTACAGTGCAGTGCTGTTGTCATAGCTCACTGCAACCTCAAGCTCCTGGGCTCAAGCAGTCCTGTCTCAGCCTCCAGAGTAGCACGTGCCACCACACCTGGCTAATTTTTTTCTGTTTTTAGTAGAGATGGGGGTCTCACTCTTGCTCATGCTGGTCTGGAACTCCTGAGCCCAAGCGATCCTCCTGTCTTGGCCTCCCAGAGTGCTAGGATTATAGGCGTGAGCCACTGCACCTGGGCCAGTTACACAATTTGTGAGAAATAAGAGAATTACATGTCCTGAAAACTTTTCCTGGTAATGACAAATGATGAGTTTCAGTGCCCAAAGGTGAATATAGTTGGCCCACTGTATCCATGGGTTCTGCATCTGTGGTTATAACCAACTGTGGATTGAAAATATTTGGAAAAGGTTGGGTGTGGTGGCTCACACCTGTAATCCTAGCATTCTGGGAGGCCAAGGTGGGCGGATTGCTTGAGCTTAGGAGTTCCAGACCAGCATGAACAAGAGCAAGACCCTGTCTCCACAAAAAAAATTAAAAAGAAAATATTTGGAAAAAAAATGGATGGTTGCATCTGTACTGAACATGGACAGAGTTTTTTCTCTGTCATTATTCCCTAAACAATACAACTAATTCACATAGCATTTACATTGGGTTAGGTATTATAAATTATCTAGAGGTAATTTAAAGTATACAGGATGATGTGTATAGGTTACATACATTTACTACACCATTTTATGTAAGGGACTTGAGCATTCATGGATTTTGGTATCCATAGGGATCCTGGAACCAGTCCACTACACACACTGTGTATCAACCAGATCATAAGACAGATGGAAAACTTAACTTTTACCATACTTTTCTAGTACATATAATCTTCTAATGTGTATTATTTTGTTGAGAAAAGTGTTTTTAATTTTAATTTTTTTTTTTATTTTTAAGGAATTAAAGATTTCATTTTGCTGTGTGGCCGGATTTTCTTACTGCTTGCTCTTCTTACTTTAATTATTTCTGTGACTACCTCATGGCTTAACTCATTTAAATCTCCCCAAGTTTATCTGAGAGGTAAGTTTATTATTTATGCTAACCTTTTATACTTTTCTACTGAAATTTCTTTCCTTTATTTATTCTAGAACTTTGCACAACAAAAACTGTTTTACCATTGATTTGTGATGTGTAATTTTGAAAAGTAATCATTACAACTTAGTCATGATTGTTTTGAATGGACTATAAATCTCAATTTTTTTCATGACAAATTGTACATTTTCCTTATATATGTTTTTTTGAAACTATACCATTTCTAAGTTGTTATATTCTAAGTTTCCTAACTTGAAATTGTGTGTTTGTGCCGCTTAACTGCTGGTTCATACCTACGTTTATAAACTGTTCTACAAAGAGTAAATTTATCTACCATTAATTTCTGAAGACTTTGCATGCTTCTGAATTTTTCATTCCATTCCAGCACTTTTTTTTTAAGCACCTATGTCATGTGTATAGTTAAATGTTTTTAATTTTAGGACATCATGCTTGTTCTTATTTTTGTTTCCTTTTTGATAAGCAAAAGTTTGTGAATTCTAGAAGCCTTTTAAAACAACATTGTACTTAGCCTAAGAACAAATGAATCTTAAAACTAAAAGCTGCATCTCTTATATGCTATTGGGAAGAGGCTTGCCAGTAGTGAATTTGGTATATTGTGTTTTGTTACACTGTTTGTCTAAATGTAAGTAAACAAAAGGAAAATGAGCAGTGTTTAATTTCTAGCCCTTTCAAATTAACTGTGAATAAAACCATAATCCTAAAAGGTTATACTATTCAACCCAAATGCAAAAGACAATGTGGATACTTCAAGATCTCTCAATCACAGATTTTGTATTTTGTTTTTTCTTTTGGTAAGTTATTTGATCTCTTATACTTCAAATGACTCAGTTGGAAAATTAAACAGTAACATGGTAATTTCTCTTAGGAATTTTGTGTTAAATATATTCTGATATCAGGAAGATATTTGCTGCATACATTAAACTAGCAGGTCAGGTATTCAATTCCATGTTTTATAAAAAGAAATGTGCTCTTGACACAGTTTGTACCTTTGTGTTGTCGGAGTACAAGTCAGTTGGTACATTTATGGGTTGTCAATTTGAGGCTGAAGGCTAACACTGTCTAATAAGTAATATTAAGACTTATATAGTGCCTAATTATTGGCAGATTTTCTTAAAATGAGTAAAAAAACCAACTTGCTCACACACTTTCTGTTTTCCTTATTGTCATCAGATATCGAGATATAAAGGTCTGCAAGATGAGATATATCTAAAGTTTAGAAGCAGTCAGTTCTCAGTGGCTTTAAAGATTATCCCTTGCTATTGACTTATTTTAAAAGTATATTCTTTGATTCAGAGTCTGGAAGGAGTCTGAAGATCACTGAGCCTGAATGATCATGTAACAAATTAGTGGCCTAGTTGGGCCCTCTGATTTCCTGTTGGGTTACTGCTCTAATTTTAGTTTTATAAACTTGGGGAAATATTTACTGCCATAGAGAGCAAGTTGTCGGTAGAAGGATATGCTCCTATTCAAGGAACAAAGTAGTTCAAAGGATATGTTTTCCTAGATGGATTATTCCTCAAGGTAATACTGTTTCTGGTTCACTGTTAATATTTGTGAGCCATTCTGAATATTATTATTGCTGTATCAGAAAATTATTCTTTAAATGTTCTTTTAAGAATGGAGCCACATACTTAAATGAAACTAACTATACCAAGAATAAAAGAGTCCACATAGCAGCAGAAATCCTTTGTCTTGACAGTCAATGGTCAATAACCGAATGTTGGTTCGGTCATTATAGGAGATGCCAAGCACACACCACCTTTGGGGACTAGGCATATTGCTTTCTCCGCCATGTCCAAGGGCAGTGGGATGCACTGCTCATGCCTGCAGTGCAGCCTTCACACTTCATGTGCAGTAATGGGCTTTCATGCCAAGCTGTGGAATTGCTGAAGCCCTGTCGGGCCTGCAGGATAAAACCTGCCAGAACATTCTAGACGCTTCCTTAGCAAAACTATTACAGTTGTCCCTCAGTATCCATGGGGGATTGGTTCTAGGACATACCAAATACAATGTAAATGCTACATAAATAGCTGTTATACAGTATTATTTAGGAAATGATGACAATGAAAAAAGTCTATACCTGTTTAGCGAAGACACGGCTATCAGAGGCCTAATTACATTTTCAATCTGAAGTTGGCTGAATCCAGGGAACACTTAGATACAGAGGACCAACTGTACACACATTACTAATACTCATCAGAGAATTTTTGTTTCAGAGCAGAGCTTTTATTATTGATTTTCTTGTGGATTTCCTTGTTTCAACTGTCTGTATATATCTCATTTTCATTTATTGAAAAATAGAATCATTTTGAAGGCTTTTTATCATTCCCCAGATGTTAAAATCTACAAACTATTTTCAGAGAAAAAAAACCATTTGACCTATTGATATTTGGGCATTAAAAGGCACTTTTCTGTTTTGATGTCTTAGAAGAAGAAGAAGAGAAGAATGAGAAAAGGCAAAAACTTGTGAGAAAAAAGCAACAGGAGGCACAGGGTGAAAAGGTAAAGTATAATTTTTCGAGAGTATATGGAGAGAATACAAAAATATCTGGGGCATTTAAAGTTAAGCCTTCTGTGTTTGTGCTAAAATTTTAAAAATTATTATTGAGATCAAATTCACACAACATAAAACTGACCATTTTAAAGTGCACAAGTCAGTGGCATTTAGTACATTCACAATGTGGAGCAACTAACACCTCTATTTAGTTCTGAAACATTTCCATCACCCCAAAAGAAATCCCTGTACCTGTTAATCAGTCACTCCCTACTACCTGCTCCTCCTATCCTCTGGCAACAACCAATCTGCTTTCTGTCTATATGGATTTACCTATTCTGGATATTTCCTATAAACGGAATTGTAAGCCTAAAATTGTAGACAAGTGGCTACAATTGTACAGGTGGCTCAGACCTGTAATCCCAGCACTAGAACTTTGGGAGGCCAAGGCAGGAGGATCACTTGAGGCCAGAAGTTTAAGACCAGCTTGTGCAACATAGTGAGACCCCATCTCTACCAAAAAACAAAACCCCAGAAGTCTCCAGTTCTTTTTTTTTTTTTTTTTTTTTTTTTTTTTTGAGACAGAGTCTTGCTTTGTTGCCAGGCTAGAGTGAGTGCCATGGCGTCAGCCTAGCTCACAGCAACCTCAAACTCCTGGGCTCAAGCGATCCTCCTGCCTCAGCCTCCCGAGTAGCTGGGACTACAGGCATGCGCCACCATGCCCGGCTAATTTTTTCTATATATATTAGTTGGCCAATTAATTTCTTTCTATTTATAGTAGAGACGGGGTCTTGCTCCTGCTCAGGCTGGTTTCGAACTTCTGACCTCGAGCAATCCGCCCGCCTCGGCCTCCCAGAGAGCTAGGATTACAGGCGTGAGCCACCGCGCCCGGCCCCTACCAAGTTTTTGTTGCACTGAAAATACAACTAAACAATATATAGTCACACGGCCATACAAACATAAATAAAGAACATTTGTTTTTATTTGCATTTTGTATCAATGCAAATTCTCAGAAAATGATGTAAAGTGGAGGTTGCTGGTTTTTTGGCAAAATTGAATTAGTGACCAGGTATGGTGGCTCATGCCTATAATCCCAACACTTTGGGAGGCTGAGGCAGGGGGTAGCTTGAGGCTAGGAGTCTGAGACCAGCCTGGCAACATAGTGAGACTCTGCCTCTACATAAAATTAAAAAATTAGCTGGGCATAATGGCGGTGCCTGTGGTCCCACTACTTGGGAGGCTGAGGCAGGAGGATCGCTTGAGCCCAGGAGTTCAAGGTTGCAGTGAGCTATGCCTGCACCACTGCATTCCAGTCTGGGTGACAGAGTGAGACCCTATCTCAAAAAAAAAAATTAGTGTGATAACACCATTTCTTACCTAGTTCGTATTTACAACTTTATAGACAATGTCTACAGACGTTATTTATAGACAATGTTATAGTTAATATATAGTAACAACACCTAATTTGTTTTTTTAAACAGGCCAACAGATACATAGAGAACGTTTTAAAACCTCACCAGGAAATGAAATTGAAAAAACTGGAGGAACGCTTCTATCAGATGACGGGTGAAACCTGGAAGTTAAGCAATGGTCACAAACTTGGGGTTAGAAAATATTCTTATTTTATATTTTGAATCCTGTTATTACTTATGTTTCCTTTTATGTGTTTTGATTTTTCAAAAATTGAAAACAGTGCTAAGCTGTGAAAAGTCTGTTTTTAGGAGTCTTTACTGATAATGATTATATATCAGTTTTTATTCAGCATATTTGTATCAAATGGTTAAGTGGTTTTTGGTGCCTAAAGAGCATATAATTTGGACTGTAGTCTTTGAGAAAACTGTTGAATGAATCACTGTTTTCTTATATGAGAAAATTCTGCTCTTTCCTCAAGTAAGATCTTTAAGGTAGTCAGCTCACATTATATTCATTATATTTGGCTCTGTTTTTTAGAAGTCAAATTAGCCTTTGACTATTTTTTCCTTTGGCATTGAATATGAATGTTGTTCATTGCTAATGGAAGTTCATACCATAATTTTAAGTTTATTTATTTATTTCTTTTACCAAGGGAAAGGAATATGGCTAAAGACATTAAGTTTTAGAGTAACTGGCCACAGATTTTTATGTGTGAATCCATATCTGTCCCCAAAACTTTTTTGACTTTTTGTTTTTTGCTTTCTGTTTCTACTGCACCTTTCATCATCTTGTAATGAAAATGATCCAGTAAAGGTAAACAGGACTTTTATAGTGAACCAGAGTCCATTTTTACTCATTATGTAATGGGAAATATGTCATAAAATGACCAAGGGTAGGCAATAAAAGGAATGTGAGAGATGGGCAATGTAAAAAGCAGCTGCTCTAGGTAGTGCTTTCACTTCTGAGTTGAGTTTGTCTTCTGTTCAATGTTGTGGCTGATATAGACATTGACAGGCTGATGTTAGCCTGACAGATCTCTTTCAGAAATGGTCACAGTGGCTGGGTACAGTGGTTCACGCCTGCAGTCCCAGCAACTCAGGAGGCTGAGGTGGGATCACTTGAAGCCTAGAGTTTGAGACCAGCCTGGGCAACACAGCAAGAGCCCTGTCTCTTAAAAAATTAAAAAAAACAAAACAAAACAAAAAAACCAGGCATGGTGAAGGTACACCTGTAGTCCCAGCTACTCCAGAGGCTGAGGTGGGAGGATCACTTGAGCCCAGGAGTTTGAGGCTACGGTGAGCTATGATTGTACCACGGGACTCCAGCTTGGGAGACAAAGCGAGGCCTTGTCTCTTAAAAAAATAATTTAAAAAAAGATTGGTCACAATGTGAATTACTCATTCTTCCCCTTGCTTTTGGGCTATGTCTTCGTGGTACTAATATATTTTAACCTGATTGGTAAGGACAACAAAAAGTTAGGGACAGGGTAGATCATTGGTGTCACTGTGACTCAACATACTTGGGACTGTCAAAGAACATCAGAATCAGAATGCGAGAGCTGAAAGAAAGGGTATCATCAACTTTAGCAGTGTGGTTTACAGTTAGGCAGCCTAGGCTTGGCCAGCTAGATCCAATGCCAGTTTGGCATTAAGATCTTTCTCTTTCTTTTTAAAAATTAAAAACGGGGTCTCACTATGTTGCCCAGCCTGGTCTAGAACTCCTGAGCTAAAATGATCCTCCTGCCTCAGCCTCCTGAGTTGCTGGGACTGCAGGCTCATGTCACATGCCAGGTAGCATTAAGCTCTCTTGATTTCCATTCCCTATGCTCCTTCCTTCAAATTTTTTTAGGATAAAGGAAGGATGATAAAATTCCACCCTGGTGGAATCTGGTGAACATTTTAGTCTAATTAGGAGAACTTTTTTCTCTTAGAAGATGAGTAGCTATGGGAGGAGGAGGGAGTTACTGAACTAACAAGCGTATGTTTGAGATTTGAGTAAAATAAATTATTTTGCTAAGGAAAAAGTTTTGGTAGATCATAAAGAGTCATCTTGATTTCTGGAAGAAAATCCTTTGCCTCCTAAAGTGATTGATTAAAATGGAACTTCAAAGTCTGAATTTGAAAAGTAAAAACAAAACATTTTTTTTTGAGACTAGCCAAGTGCAATAGTGAGAAGGGGGAAAGAGTTTATATATAATAAGATTCTAGGACCACATTCAGCTGTAGAAATTCTGCATGATCACATATGTAGACATATGTTTTCACATAATGTTCTATTTTCAGTCTTTTAAAGCATAATCCCTTGCACTGTTTTGCTTCCTTTGCATATTTTCAAGGTGTTTTCTTTCTTTCATGCTACTGAGAAACTTGAGGGTCGGTTAAAGATGGGAAGGGCCCTGTAGCCTTTTGTCTGTCTTGAGTAAACCCCAGAAGTATATGTGGGTAGTTTCTTCTAGATGTTAGGCTCCATGTTTTCTTGTCTAAGGAGATAACGTTTTAATATTCTGGGTCTCATAATGGCTTACTTAGATTTTTACACTGAATTGCCATCAGGGTAAAAACAAAACAAAACAAAAAAACACTTTTTTTTTTTTTTTTGAGTCATAGTCTCACTCTGTTACCCAGGCTAGAGTGCCATGGTGTCAGCCTAGCTCACAGCCACCTCAAACTCCTGGGTTCAAGCAATCCTGCTTCAGCCTCCCAAGTAGCTTGGGACTACAGGCATGTGCCACCATGCCCGACTAATTTTTTCTATGTATTTTTAGTTCAATTAATTTCTTTCTATTTTTAGTAGAGATGGGGTCTCACTCTTGCTTAGGCTAGTCGCAAACTCCTGACCTCGAGCGATCCTCCCGCCTCGGCCTCCCAGAGTGCTAGGATTACAGGCGTGAGCCACCACGCCTGGCCAAAATAACCATTTTGAATAGAATAAAGTCTATAGAAAGCATCTCTTTAGAAATTGTTTGTTGTTTTTGACCAGGGTGATGAAGATTCGGTGCTTGAACGTGCAAGTCAGACATCTTTTAAAACATCAAACAGAGAAGCAGCAAAGAGACAGAACTTGCCTAAGCCTTTAACCGAAGTGCCACCACCTGCTGAACAGCCCACGTGGAAGGAGGTTCGGTACCTTATGCCTGTCACTGAGGTGTAACAGTGTTCTGGGCGAGGTGGTGTATTGAGTGAAGAACAGGACTGGCTTTTCATCCACATGGTGTCTTCCCACTACCTTATAAAGTGGTCGCTTTCATTTAGAATTACTTAACCTTGTTTCATATTAATGTTTGGAACCAAACTTAGAGGGAAGCTAAAGATAAATGATAATGGGTTTAGAAAATACTCAGTTCCTTTTGAGGAAGTAATTTGATCATGTAGATAGGAAAAATATAATGTTTACTAAGGGAAACATTCCTAAGAGGTCGCTTAAGATATTATTAAGCCATATTTTGTAAGTGTCTAATACCTGTTATTAACATGAGCATATAATTTTCCTCCCCGGCCCTACTGCAATCAGTCACTTTGGAATCGTGCCCAGGTTTATTATACATGCTTTTCCTTTCAAATCTTTAATCCCTAAATTGATTCCGGTTTGGAGCTAGAAAAGACTGGAAATAAGAAATCTGTTTTTACTGACTCTCAGGCAATGCTGGGAGGCTATCTAGTTCCTGAAAGCAGTTTCGAATATATTCCTTCTCCATCTGAGATTTCCTGATCCCAGAGTGGACACTGAAGATAGGAATCAGATTATTGAACTGACAAATATCATTAACATTTTAAAAAGATCTAATGAATGAAACAGACTAATTAAAAATTCAAGTTTCTACCTTGATGTCTAGTGATAGAAAAAAAAAAAAAAATTCAAGTTTCTTTGCTTTTTGTTAATAACACTGTCTTGGGCTGATGATAAAATTTTGCTTGACAGTCACATATGCTTTTGATACCAAAGGAAAACAAATGGATTATTAATATTTAGTAAATGAAAGTAATGTTTGTTAGATAAAATATAATAAAACATAGAGTCTATAGTATTAAAAAATAAAGAGTCCTTCTAAGGTAAAGTCGTTGGTAACCAGTGTTTTATTAAGAGAAAATGGTCTGAATATCCAGTTTCTTACTAGATTAACAGAAATAGGGGAAGTTGAGTAACTGACAAAAGCAACCATGGTGAATGGTTGTTGGCAATTCCTAGGAGCATCAGTGAAGAAAAATATATGTTCATGTTAAAATGTGTATATCAGTGACCCTAAATAATTTTGGGATATTACTGAACTTAATTCATGTTAATATGTATTGTCTGCTTTGTGTGTGTGTGTGTGTGTGTGTGTGTTGTTTTCTTTTTTTTCATAAAGAGACAAGGTATCACTGTTTCCCAGGCTGGACTCTAACTCCTAGCCTCAAGTGATCCTCCTGCCTAAGCCTCCCAAGTAGCTGGCACTATAGGCATGAACCATAGAGCCCAGCTTGTTTTTTAACATTTTTTCACTGCTTCAATTGACCAGCCTTAAAAAAATAATAATAAAAAAATAAAGCTGGGCATGGCAGCTCACACCTGTAATCCTAGCACTCTGGGAGGCTGAGGTTGGTGGATTGCTCAAGGTCAGGAGTTCAAGACCAGCCCGAGTAAGAGTGAGACCCTGTCTCTACTATAAATAGAAAGAAATTAATTGGCTAACTAAAAAAAAAAAGAATATATATATATAGTAGCCGGGCATGGTGGTACATGCCTGTAGTTCCAGCTGCTTGGGAAGCTGAGGCAGGAGGATCGCCTGAGCCCAGTTTGAGGTTGCTGTCAGTTAAGCTGACACCACGGCACTCTAGCCGGGGCAACAAGAGTGAGACTCTGTCTCAAAAAAAAAGAAAAGAAAATAGTACATTTTTTATATTCTGTCTTGGAACATCATAAAAACAAAATTCTTTTTTTTTTTTTTTTTTTGAGACAGAGTCTCACTTTGTTGCCAGGCTAGAGTGATGCCGTGGCGTCAGCCTGGCTCACAGCAACCTCAATCTCCGGGGCTAAGCGATCCTACTGCCTCAGCCTCCTGAGTAGCTGGGACTACAGGCATGCGCCACCATGCCCGGCTAATTTTTTGTATATATATTTTTAGTTGGTCAATTAATTTATTTCTATTTTTGGTAGAGATGGGGTCTCGCTCAGGCTGGTTTTGAACTCCTGACCTTGAGCAATCCGCCTGCCTCGGCCTCCCAAAGTGCTAGGATTACAGGCGTGAGCCACCACGCCCGGCCAAAAAAACAAAATTCTTTAAATGTGTATAGATTGGTAGCTATCATCTCAAATCCTATTTTTGTGATTTATTGTTAGCAAAAAGTTGCTTACCAAAAAACTGTTTATTAATTGTAAAGTCCTTTAAATGGCCTATTAATTTTAAAAATGTTTATTAATTGAACTCTCATTTTCATTGTAAACTTTTCAGAAATGTATATTGAAAGAAAAGATGTATCTAAGCTCTATATTGAAAGAAAGTCTTCTCTTTGAGATTTTTTTCTGCTTCTTGAAAATTTTTACATTCCTTTCACCAATACTTTACTTTTCTTTAGGTTTTTGATTTACCTGAAGAACCATCTGAAACAGCCAAAGAAGTAAGCTTTGTTTTTTGCTTTGAAAATTAATTTTCTATTTTCTTTAAGTAATTGTGTCTTATCCAAACTTGGGTTTAGAAAGAAAAGACAGCATGTCTTTGGACTGTAATTAGGTCTTGTTTTGAGTTTTTGGAAACGAGCCACTGCCTCAGGCATGGGATACATATGGGCTTTTCCAGAACTGCAGATCAGCAAATGAGTTACTTATTAAAAGAGAATCAAAATAGGCAGATGACTTAAAATTATAGTTTTCCTTTCAAAAAAAGAAAATGTAGCTACCTTGTAGATGTTTTCATTGAAGGATGGTTTGCTGTTTGGGGGTCTGGGATGGGACTCACTCCCTGTTTTGCGTTGAGTTGCCTTCCTGCCTTGGCCAGCTTAGCTACAGACCCTTCCCTAATGTACGGGCAACATGTGTCCTGAGAGCCATCAAGTCACTTGAGCAGTAAACCCAGAAGCAGAGCCCTCACGGCTTGCCATTTCTTAGAGCTCAGCAACTGTTACTCTCTTTGGAAACCATTTTTGAAGCAGCCATAAAAGCAATTGGGAGGCTCTCATTTTTGTCAGCACATTTGTAATGTTTAATATAATAATACCCTGAGGAAAATCTGAAAGTCATACAAAGACAATGAAGTGTGTAATCGAGATACCAAACCCCAGGAAAAAAACAAAACATTTTTTTTTAAGACTTCTAATTCCGCTGTTATACCCAACAAATTCATGCCCACAACATGTCTGTCTTGATCCTCTCTTCTCATCAAGTTCTGGGTTGGTTGGTATCCATGACAACCATTTTATAATATAGGAGTAATTAGCACATTGACGGCTGCACTAGGAAAAAAAAATTTTTTTTCCTTGGGACTATGGTGTTTTATCACATAAAACACATTAGAAAGGATCATTTTGTTTTCAAAGTTTGAAAACAAACTTTGAAAACAAAATGATCCTTTCTAATTTAATCAAAAATTTGTAATTTTTTATTGCTTTTTGTGCATGAATTACGTGCAGACTTGAAAAATAGTTCTCAGGCTGGGCACGGTGGCTCACGCCTGTAATCCTAGCACTCTGGGAGGCCATGGTGGACGGATTGCTCGAAGTCAGGAGTTCAAAACCAGCCTAAGCAAGAGAGAGACCCCGTCTCTACTATAAATAGAAAGAAATTAATTGGCCAGCTAATATATATAGAAAAAAATTAGCCGGGCATAGTGGCATATGCCTGTAGTCCCAGCTACTTGAGAGGATGAGGCAGAAGGATTGCTTGAGCCCAGGAGTTTGAGGTTGCTGTGAGCTAGGCCACGGCACTCACTCTAGCCTGGGCAACAAAGCAGGACTCTGTCTCAAAAGAAAAAAAAAAAAAAGAAAGAAAAATAGTTCTCATAGCTTCCAAAGCGAATAGATGTATGCGTTACATATACTTCACGAGGCCCCAGGCTCAAAACTAGCGTGAGTTAAATACAACTCACATGGCAGTTCATGTGTTAAATACAGCGTAGGTTTGACAGGGAATACCTTTTATGAACTTACCCTGGCTTTGAAGCATATGATATCATTTCTGTAGAATATAGTTGTCACTGAAGTTCCACAGATGATATAGACATCAGGCTGTCAGTGAATCCCTTGAAATTGTACCTTTTCATGATTGTAGGTAGAAGACAATGCTTTTCTTTAGATTCTCAGGTCTGTGTCCCTTGAGAGGTTAAGAAGCTTCTGTGACAGAGAAACTGGTCTTGTCATTGGCAGGCCATGTTCTCCTGTTATTTATTCCATTTTATTTCCTTTCTACCTTTTTCCAGCACTTGATAGATGACATTTAGTGTTATACTCATTAAAGCATATGTCAGAGTAATGGAATTTTAGAGTGGGAGAGGACCTCAGAAACCATCCTGTACCATCTCGTTCAAAGTTGAAGCCACCAGGCAGGAAGAGTTTCTGAGGCACCTCGTGGTAGAACCAGGGTTAGACCCAGCCCTCTGGCTGTAGCCAGGACCTCTTACCCACTCTATAAGCAATACTGTCCTGATTTCCTTCTCCCTGCTCTGATTTTTGATTCTGCCTCTTCTGTTTTTGGTTAATAAAGTCAACAAAATTATGGTAAATAATTGTTACCTGAAAATCATGTAAAATGTATACACCATGAATATACTGCATTAATTGGCACAAACAACTTTTATGTTATGTAATGAAGTTCTATTAAGAATACCACTAATGGGCCAGGCGCGGTGGCTCACGCCTGTAATCCTAGCACTCTGGGAGGCCGAGGTGGGAGGAGTTCAAGACCACCCTGAGCAAGAGTGAGACCCTATCTCTACTAAAAATAAAAAATTAGCTGGCATGGTGGTGCATGCCTGTAGTCCCACCTACTTGGGAGGCTGAGGCAGAAGGATTGCTTGAGCCCAGGAGTTTGAGGTTTCTGTGAGCTAGGCTGACGCCACGCCACTCTAGCCCAGGTGACAGAGCAAGACTGTCTCCAAAAAAAAAAAAAGAATATCACTAATGTATAGTTGATACCACTTGATACTTTTACAGTATATTGTATTCTCCACTAATCAAGAAAAGCTAATAAATATTGGGATCATCACTGGGCAAGGCATTTTCTATCTGTGTAGTTACTATTGCTCATAGATTTCTAAGAAGTCAATGCAAAATGTTTTAATTTTCCTCTAACCACTCACAAGACTTCAAATGTCCCATTCTGTCTTTATGTAATTCTGTTCTCACGGACCTAAATAGTGTTATCCTGCCCCTGGTCTGCTGACCTGGTTCTAAGCAGGTCAACGTAGCAGATTTTTTCAGGATAATCAGAATAGACTTTTTAAAGTTTGGAGTATTATCATCATCATAGAAGTTACCAACAAGAAATAAAATAAAGCATTCTATTTAGAGAAGTGTGCTGTTCCAACCCATCTTCCACTCTAATAGAGTATTTTTTTTTTTTTGGAGACAGAGTCTCACTTTGTTGTCCAGGCTAGCCGTGGCGTCAGCCTAGCTCACGGCAACCTCAAACTCCTGGCCTCAAGCAATCCTGCTGCCTCAGCCTCCTGAGTAGCTGGGACTACAGGCATGCGCCACCATGCCTGGCTAATTTTTTCTATATATTTTTAGTTGTCCAATTAATTTCTTTCTATTTTTAGTAGAGACAGGGTCTCGCTCTTGTTCAGGCTGGTCTCGAACTCCCTGAGCTGAAACGATCCGCTTGTCTTGGCCTCCCAGAGTGCTAGGATTACAGGTGTGAGCCACTGTGCCCAGTCTAATAGAGTATTTTCAAAGTTAAAAAAGCCATGGGTAGAGTAGGGAATGTGATATACCATAGTTACCCAAGGTTTGGGGATATTTATCCTTGTAAATTATGTAGTTATATTGTTTCTGTCTTTCTGCAAGATGCTATTTCCTATTTGTCAACTTAACAGTTTTGCTCTAGTATTATAATTGCTACATGCAATATAACATAACCAGTACATATCATCACATATATTTAAGCCTGCTCCTACCATAACAAATATATTTCAATCCCTAAGCTATGTAACTGTTTCATGAGTACATATGTAAAAGGATAATTTCACTTTTAGAATACTGGATATCATAATTTTTAGGAAATTCTCTATTTTCTTATTAAAGTGAAGCCCATTAAACGTCTGATATCACCCACAGAATAGAGAGACATCTTTTCTGTATTGCCAGGGGAAGGGATTAGCACTCATTTTAGAGAATATCAGAGCTAGATGAAGCTTGCACTATATAGATGCATGTTTCTGCATATGCAGTGACTATATAATAAGCCACATGAGAAAATTCCTGTTATCCTAAAATCCTGCTGGGATTTAGGAGCCGATCCTTAATAAGTAACATGCATTTCTAATGAGAGAAGGTATGAAAAATAATGCAATTCTTATTTAAGCAGTACACACCCTAATGTATTCAGTGCCTGTTATGTATTTAGTACTGTAGCTATCTACAGAGTTCTAAAATATTCATATGGTTAGATTTTTTAAATGAGAGGAAGAAATAACCCATGGTAGTCCAGAATTCTCAATGGAATATGCACCATATGTTACTGTTTCACTTTTAAGTTGAAAAGACCGTCACCAAGAATTTTAAAGTAATTTGAAAATAATTTTGTTAATCATCATAATTACTATATCACCACAGCAACTATTTGCATCATTGTAAGCTATCTTATTTCATTTTAAGGAGTAGCTGGAAAACAAATTTTAATTTATTGCTGCCTTTTTTTTTTTTTTGAGACAGAGTCTTGCTCTGTTGCCTGGGCTGGAATGCTGTGGCGTCAGCTAGCTCACAGCAACCTCAAACTCCTGGGCTCAAGCAATCCTCCTGCCTCAGCCTCCCAAGTAGCTGGGATTACAGGCATGCACCACCATGTCCGGCTAATTTTTTCTGTATATTTTTAGTTGGTCAATTAATTTCTTTATATTTTTTTTTTGGCAGAGATGGGGTCTCGCTCTTGCTCAGGCTGGTCTCAAAATCCTGACCTTGAGCAATCGCCCGCCTTGGCCTCCCAGAGTGCTAGGATTACAGGCGTGAGCCAACGCACCCGGCCTATTGCTGCTACTTTTAAATTAGATTTCACTTACGTATCTGTTTTTGAGACACTGGTTTTCTTTCCAGTTTGAATCGCAGCCTATGCATTTTCCCCATTCATATGGCAGGCCACTACACTGTCAGTAACGTTAGGAGAAAATGCACAACCAGCCCTCACAGTAATAGCAGAATAACTGCTAGATTTCAAACAATGACATTTAATTTCCCTCAAGTATTTATCTAATCATAATGGAAAAACATTAAGTCACTGTCTTTTTTTTTTTTTTTTTTTGAGACAGAGTCTCACCTTGTTGCCCAGGCTAGAGTTTGTGCCTTGGTGTGCCAGCCTAGCTCACAGCAAACTCCTGGGCTCAAGCAATCCTTCTGCCTCAGCCTCCCGAGTAGCTGGGACTACAGGCATGCGCCACCATGCCTGGCTAATTTTTTCTATATATATTAGTTGGCCAATTAAGTTCTCTCTATTTATAGTAGAGACGGGGTCTCTCTCTTGCTCAGGCTGGTTTCGAACTCCTGACCTGGAGCAATCCGCCCGCCTTGGCCTCCCAGAGTGCTGGGATTATAGGCGTGAGCCACCGCGCCCGGCCTGGATTGGAATTCTTACCTGAACATTTTTATTCCTTAGGTAGTTACTGTTGCTTTCCGATGTCCTAGTGGGCGTGTCCTGAGGAGAAGATTTTTTAAGTCTTGCAGTTCCCAGGTAAGTGGGGAAATTCACAGTTTGAGAAATATTTTTGTTGACTTTGGCAATAGTTTATTCACATGCGGTGGGGAAGGTATATCACACTGTCACCTGATAGTGCCATCAGATGAAGATAAAGGACATTATATGTACTCTACGTGCAGAAATGCGGATAATTAGATATATATCTGTGCTGCTTTGAACTGTGATCTCTGCATTCAGAGTTTGTTCTTCCCTTTGCTATATTTTCCTTCTTTTTGGTTTTAATTACATTTTCACGGTTTTGTGGGTGAGATTTTTTTTTTTTTTTTTTTTGAGACAGAGTCTCGCTTTGTTGCCCAGGCTAGAGTGAGTGCCATGGCATCAGCCTAGCTCACAGCAACCTCAGTCTCCTGGGCTCAAGCAATCCTGCTGCCTCAGCTTCCCGAGTAGCTGGGTCTACAGGCATGAGCCACCATGCCCGGCTAATTTTTTCTATATATATTAGTTGGCCAATTAATTTCTTTCTATTTATAGTAGACACAGGGTCTCGCTCTTGCTCAGGTTGGTTTCGAACTCCTGACCTCGAGCAATCCGCCCACCTCGGCCTCCCAGAGAGCTAGGATTACAGGCATGAGCCACCGCGCCCAGCCTAGATGCTTTTAAATCCTTAGGAAGCAGCCAGTATTTAGAAATAAGACTGTGTTTGTTAGTGATAATTTGGAAAACATGAAAAAGTAGAGAGAAAAACAATTATATCTGCAGTGTGAAGCCAAAACCAATTAATAGTATTTTGGGATATTTCCATTTCTAATTACAGTTAAACATATAATCATGTGTGCATTAAAAATATATGTAAATAATTTTCCATCCTGATCGTTGCATTTAACCCTCTGTGGTAAGAATGCTTTAAGCCCTAATGGAAAATACTGGTGGATTTAACTGCATAAAAATTAAAAATTTTATAAAGAAAATGTTCATAAAATTAAAGACAAATTTGAAAAAAATTTTACTGTTTATGTATGATTGTCATTTTTTATAAGGTGCTTATACAAATCATGGAAAAGATAAACATCTAAGTAGAATGGCAGAAAAAAGCATGTATATCAGGATTTCCTAAAGAAGACCAAGTGACAGATAAAAATATGGAAAAAAAAGTTTGACCTCAGAATCAATGAAATGCAAATAAAATAGGACACCATTTTCTACTTATAATGCAAAAATTTGGCAAGTGTGTGGGGAAAACAGGGATTCTCATAACTTGTTAATGTGAATGCAAATTGGACCAGTGTTCCTGTAGGAGAATTTACCATTATATTTTTGAAATATTTAAAAATATATCTTTTGACCCAGTAATTTCATTTGTGAGAATGTGTTCTATGGAAAAGACAAATATTCAAAGATATAAATGTCTTTTTCTGTAAGGTTAAATTAAGGTATATCCATATATTAGGAAATTATTGAGCTTTAAGTATTAGACAAAGATGTACCTTGATTACATGGAGTGTCAGTAGGTTCTCGGATGGTGGCTAGCAGCCGAAGTCAGGGATGACCTGTATTTGAAACAGCAGCTTCCCCCAGAATATTCCTTCATCCATCTTTCTTGCTAAAACAACAAATCTTCCTTTGTTTAAAATAAGCATTTTATGTTTCAAAGTAGGCATTGACTTTAGGCAATAGCAAGTAGAAATTTTGATCATTACTATGGGAATCTTCCAGACAGGAAATGTTATAAAATTATAGGAATGGTAGCTGGGTGTGGTGGCACGTGCCTCTTATCCCAGCTACTTGGGAGGCTGAGGCAGCAGGAGGATTGCTTGAGCCTCCTGAGTAGCTTTTCTTGCAATATAGCAAGACCTCATCTCTAAAAAAATAAAAAATAAGGCCAGGCGCGGTGGTTTACACCTGTAATCCTAGCACTGTGGGAGGCCGAGGTGGACAGATCGCCCAAGGTCAAGAGTTCGAGACCAGCCTGAGCAAGAGTGAGACCCCATCTCTACTAAAAATAGAAAGGAATTAATCGGCCAATTAATAATATACGTAGAAAAAATTAGCTGGGCATGGTGGCGCATGCCTGTAGTCTCAGCTACTCGGGAGGCTGAGGCAGAAGTATCGCTTGAGCCCAGGAGATTGAGGTTGCTGTGAGCTAGGCTGACGCCACGGCACTCACTCTAGCCTGGGCAACAGAGTAAGACTCTGTCTCCAAAAAGCACAAAACTAAACAAAAAAGTTATTAAGGATCATTTGCATCTCCATATTTGTGGCCAGCTCTTTTCTTTTAAGCTCTGGAAAGTTTCTCTGAAGGGTGTGCAAGTTCTGTTTCATTACTCCCGGGGACATGGTTTGACAGTGACAGAATTGTACAATGTCATGGCAGTCTAGAGGGACACTGTGTGCACAGTACTTGATAATGACTAAGCTTTTTATCTCGTAGGTCTTACTGGACTGGATGATGAGGCTCGGGTACCACACGTCCCTGTATAGCCTTTCCACTTCCTTCCCCAGAAGGCCCGTGGCAGTGGCGGGAGGCTTGTCCCTGGGGGACGTGGGGATTACCGTGGATACTGTGCTCAACCTGGAAGAGAAAGAGCAGAGCAACTAGGAGAGTGACGAGAACTACGTGTTCTACGCAAAATCAGTTATGCCGTGACCTTTCAGGACAATAAAGGCTTCACATTAAACTCATGCCATACCTTGATGGGGTCCAAGGCAGTAAACACTTTCAATGTTGACATTCATGGGGACGTCAGCATAAAGGATTGTCCTCTGCACATAACAGTCTGTGGACTGTGCCACCTTACAGTGTACTAGATAAGAATGAGGTTAACAAATGTATCTAATAAGGCCGTCAGTAATTTCTATTTTTCCCAGCTGACATCATTTCTCAGTGTGTTAAGAAAGCAAAGTCATAGGACCGTGGTTTCTGCCTCTCTAATCCATCTTACCACACAATGAATGTTTCATAATTCAGTCGAACTTTCTCAAAGTGTTATAAGTAGTAATGTTTATTCTGCTGTAGTTCTAGAGTTTAAGAAGAAGTTTGAAAACTCTTTACGGCTTTAAAGTTCTTTTTGATAGGTATGTATTACACTTTACTCAACTAATGTTTGCAATTTATATAATTTTGCCTTGTATTAAGTTATAACATTTACAGAGTTCCAAGTGGATCAGTATTTTTATATATGTCTCTCTCTATATATATACATATATGCATATATGTGTGTGTGTATATATATATATATATAGAGAGAGAGAGAAAGAGAGAGAGAGAGATTGGTTGGGGGTCTCACTATGTTGCCCAGGCTGGATGGAGTGCAGTGGCTGTTCACAGGCTTGATAGTAGCTCACTGTAGCCTCAAACTCCTAGGCTTAAGCGATCCTCCTGTCTCAGCCTCCTAAGTAGCTGAGACTATAGGTGCACACCACCATGCCTGGCTAATTTTTCTTCCTTTTCTTTTTCTTTGTTTTAGAAATGGGGTTGCCCAGGCCAGTCTCAAATGAAATAAAACTATGAAAGCACGCCAGGCACAGTGGCTCATGCCTGTAATCCCAGCATTTTGGGAGGCCAAAGTGGGAGCATCACTTGAGGCCAGGAGTTCGAGACCAGCCTGGGCAATATAGCAAGACTTGGTCTCTACAAAAAATAGAAAAATTAGCCAGGCATGGTGGTGTGGACCTGTAGTCCCAGCTACAACAAAACAAAAGAACAAACCATGGAAGCATTAAAATATAGGTGAATTTTTTAAAATATGTCTGATCATTTCCTTTTCCTGCTTATCTATAATAGTATATTCATGCATTATGATGTTGAGTTCAAATTCCAAGTATATATAAAAGTCTCTTTGTAGTCACTCCTTTTTCCTTTCCTGCATTCTATTTTAAAAGTCTGTTCACCTGACTCCCATATGTGTTGCCCATTGTACCTCTTCTGTAGAATTTATTACACTGTATTCCAGCCATGTTTTTGTTTTCTGAAATAGGTAATCTCTTAAGGGCTGTGTCTTTTTTTCCCCCCTAGAAGTACCTACTATATAGTAAATGCTTAACACTTGTTGGGAAATGAGTTGTCACAATCTTTTTTTGTAGTCTCTGGAATATCCCACATTCAAATAAATGAAAAATATTTTTCTGATTCTAGATTGATTCATTGTAAAAGTGTTTTAAGCCGGGCATGGTGGCGCACACCTGTAGTCCCAGCTACTCGGGAGGCTGAGGCAGGAGGATCGCTTGAGCCCAGGAGTTTGAGGTTGCTGTGAGCTAGGCTGACGCCATGGCACTCACTCTAGCCTGGGCAACAAAGTGAGACTCTGTCTCAAAAAGAAAAAAAAAAAAAACTTTACAGAGTTATGAAAACAAAATTAAAAATCACCCCTAATCCCAATACCCAGAAATAAATAAACTTGACTAACACCATAGTTTTCTGTCTTGTCAGAGTTTTCTATGCTTCTGTGTGGAAAAAAAGAAAAAGACCCTCCACATTTTTACACCCTTTTTAAAAACACTGGTTATTATGAGAGCTCCTAAGTACTTATGCCACTTAGGAGATGTGACAGCAGGCTCTGAGGTGGCCCCAGGGACCCCAGCTCCTGTGTTCACACGAGTGAGTGTGTGTGTGTGTGGTCCTCTCCCAGAGATCCATGATTAGGCTGTGGTGGTATGTCATTTCTTCAGACGTGGTGGTGTGTCATTTCTGAGTTTAGCTTATAAAAGATGTCGCTTCTGTCCTGGGCCACTTGGCTCTGGGAGAAGCAGCTCTGTCGTGAGCAGCCTTGTGGAGAGGCCCATGTGGCGAGGAACTGAGGCCTCCTGCCCACAGCCACGAGAGGGAGCCGGCGCTAGACCCCAGCCCATCCAGCCTTCGGAGACTGCCGCTCTGGTCTGGCCAACTGCTTTGGGTACAAATTCATGAGAGCCCTGAGCCAGAACCACCCAGTTAAGATGCTCCCAGATTCTTGGTCCTCAGGATTTGTGAGGTAATAAATAATGTTTTAGGCAGCTAAGTTTTGAGTTCATTTGTAATGGAGCAAAATACAACAGAGAGATTTGTGTATCTGTACGTTAGGTGCCGCTATGACAGAAGCCTCAGATGCAGGACTGGCTTTGCAACCAGCGTCGCGACTTTGACGAGAGTTGTTACGGTGAAGACCTCAGGGCCTTGAAATTGCGGATAAAAGCCTCACAGGTTTTTTTTTTTTTTTTTTTTTTTTTTTTTTTTTTGAGACAGTCTCACTCTGTTGCCAGCAGGCTAGAGTGAGTGACACAATAAAGAAGAACACACAATATCGCAAAACAAACACACACACAAACCTGGGCATCAAGCGAATCCTCCCTGCGCCTCCAGCCTCCGAGTAGCCTGGGATACAGGCAAAAAACACACCATCAAAACGGTTAAAAAAAGTTTTTTCTTTTCTATAATATTTTTAGTTGAAACAATTAATTTCTTTCCAAAAATAGTAAGACCAGGATCTCGCTTCGCTCAGGCTGTTTCAAATCCTGACCTGACAGAACAACACACCACCACCCAGAGTGCTAAGAACACACAACACAACACCGGAAGCTCACAGTATCTGACGGAATTTGCAGGAAGTGGTAATGGGAAATGATGTCCTGGTTATATAGCGGCAGAAGGTTAAGCACCACCATCACCCACAGTTACATGGAAAGTGGAAAATCTAGCTGATGAAAAAAAACTAAACAAGTCTATTTCCACACAGAATTGAAAATGACACAAAACAACAACAAAAATAGTAAATATACCAAGAAAGACATGAGCTTAAGAAAGAACTGTTGAACAAAAAGGAACCAGGGCTCACTGGTTTAGAAGATTCCCAGCCTTTGTAGGTAGCAAATTCTTTAATATTATGCTAAAATTAAGAAATGGCGGCTGGGCGTGGTGGCTTGTGCCAGTAATCTAGCACTCTGGAAGGTCAAGGTGGACGGATCGTTTGAGCTCTGGAGTTCGAGACCAGCCTGAGCAAGAGGGAGACCCTGTCTCTACTAAAACACAAAAGAAAATTAAGTTGGACAAAAAAATACTGCATATAAAAAAAATTAGCCGGGCATGTGGCCCATGCCTTGTAGCCCAGCTAATCGGCGAGCTGAGGCAGAAGGATTGCCTGAGCCAGGAGTTGGAGGTTGCTGTGACTTAGCGATGTCACAGCCACTCTAGCTAGGGCAACAGTGTGACACTCTTGTCTCAAAAAAAAAAAAAAAAAGATGGCTTTGAAGCAAAGATCAAATCCAGAGTTCTTTCAGGAAAGCTTGGTTTAAAGATAAAAGAGAGGGTATAACTATACAATCCTTTGTTAAGGCCTGAGAAAAAAAATCAAAGGCGATGCCTCTGTAGGATTCACAGAAGACTAAGTTTGAAAAACCATGATAGCAGCAGTAGTAACCTGGGCAGCCTGAACTGAGCCAGAGAAATGTAAAAGTTAAGAGGCCTTTGGGCCCTCCAAGTTCTGCTGGCAGGAAGCAAGGTGAGGAAAGCGCTGTGCTGTAGATCTGGTAAAAGGATGACTCCAGAGGTGACACGGGTGACACCAAGGCCTCCCAGGGCAGAGTCAAGAGCCACGGAAAGTCATT